AGAACAAACTTAATTGGTGGTAAGCCTGGTGGAGCTTCATGTCTCAAAGCCTTAGAAGCAAGCTAATGGCTTACATTTTCCCCAGCTGCTCCCACAGTTCCAGGAAGGCAGGCTGCTCTCAGCCCAGAAAGCTTAGTAACTGAACTTTACATAACACCTGGGAACATCAGAGCCTGCGTGTGGGGAAGTGATGATGAGGCCATTTGCAGGTTGAAGTTAGCGCCTGGAAATAGTTCATCATCCGCTCAGCATGTAGAGCTGCTGGGAGCTAAACGATGGTGATTGTGTGCAGGGGAGTTAAATGGGAGCCAAGTAAACAGCATGTGAAAGGCCTCACGATTATTGGATGAATTAGAAGCGCATTGTAACTGTGTCTCTTACCGGGGTCCCTATAGCATATATTGCATTGGCGCTTCCAAGAACAAAATGTGAAACTGCAAGAGCAGTGTTTGGTGCCCACCTACAAGCACAGGAATAGGTAAGTGCTAATCTCAGAAGCAGCATTACCCACTGGCAGTGCAGTCTTCTGATACACAGAGTATCCAGGATAAGGAGGAACTACAATAGCTTAAAATTTTTCCAAGGGCTTGGCTCTTGGTCTCATTTTCTGCAGGATTATTGCTAGCAGCACTGAAGGGTTAATAAGGCTTTATAAACACTTATGTCCATTTATCTGATATGTAATACTGTCTGGGTTCTGGTATTCAATGAAGCTTTCTTTCAATCTATTCTCTACTACTTACTGTGTATATGAGGTTGAGTAATTATATGAACCTCAGTTTCTTGATCTTTAAGGTAGTACTAATTGTACTCTTCTGCTATTGCTAATGAATCTTTATTGAGCATCTCTTATCTACACTGCCTGTCAACACCAAAGCTGAAAAGAGAGGAATTAGATCCCGTTTCCGCAATCAAAGAGTTCAAAACCCATAGAAAAAAGGTACATAGGAACCCGTGTTTGGGGAAAATGACCCAATTCTGATGGCTGTGTGTAGACTCACTCTGGAAGGCCTTAAACAGTGAAGGGAATACCAGATCCTTAGCTGAGGATACAGGAAGTACTGAAGTCAGAGTGGCAATATGCCCATGCTTGACCTGGGCCAGGGACTGGAGCAGCAGGGGTATGGGGTGAGTCACTACTTTCTGTACAAGGTACTCAACCTTAGAAATCAGAGGCTTGTTCATAATGCAGGCCACACTGTCTCCAACTCCTGACTTGTATAAGTAATGCATGATATTGAGTTAGCACCAGAGGCTCTGTTAGACATCATTAATGAAATGTGAGTTTGTGTCAAATCGACAACTTCTTGCTGCTAAATGACAATCTATTTCTCTATAGATGGTCGAGTGCTAGAGATGTAGCTTAGTAGTAGAGGCTTTGTATAGCATTACCGGGAAAAGGTGAAATCTATTTTTGAAGTTCAGATATGAAACACTTTGGTTTCAGTGCTGTTGGAAGGAACAGAAACAACAGGAGTGACTTGCTGTCATCTTTGGTCTGGGGACTGAGCAGGTGGGCCTCCTCTCGGCTTGTGGCAGGGCCTGATAGGCCCCTCCTCGCTCTTGACAAACAGGCTTTCAGGATCTCCTGTGAAGAGAAACAGGGTGGCCCTGGTTATAAAAGGCCCCTTGAAAGATTTAAATGTGCTCCCTTGTAGAAGATGAAGGTTGGCAGGACCCGAGAGGCCACAGAGGAAATAGCTGGGTGCTTTCCAAAACTGAATACATCTTGAGGTTATTTTGGGGACCATCTATAGCTTGGTAAAAGGAAATAAAGAGACTGTCAATTAAGGGAATTAATACATCTTTCTATCCTGTAAGAGAATGTTAAATCTCAGTGAGCATATTTGTTTACTTGACTGGGATTCTGTGGAATCTTTGGTTGGTAGCTGTCAGTGTTCACCTCTCTTCAGTAAGTCCTTTACAAAACTTGCAAGCATTCTTGGGCTTGACAGGCAACCACAAGTCTCCTTCACGTTGTTGTAGAAATAGGATAAACCACCTGGAAAAAAAATCCTATGAACTAACACTAGCAACAGAAGACCGTGGCTTTTGGGTATAAATTTTCTTTTTTACATAAACAGTTTTTTTCCTTATATATACTTTGCTATTTTTGGTTGACATGTGCAAACAGATGAAAGAAAGCTTAATCTCAATTATTTTTTGCCACTAAATGGTTTATGTTTTAGTGAGCCAATAAAATCCAGAAGTTCTCCCTCTGGATAAGATCTTTTTCCATGCAGCATTTCCAGAAAAAAAAAACAAAATCAGGGGAATAATTTTCATTTTCCCAACGTTCTTTCCAGGTTGATCTGGCTCACAGGAAGGGGGAACCATGTGTGAGGTGTCTAGTCAATTTAGCCATGCTCACAGGGGCCAACTGCAAGATATCATAGAACCCATGGTTCAGGAACATCAAGCAATGTCTAACATGTAGGCTTCCTAAGCTTAAACTAGAAATTAAAACCTAGTGGAGAGTCAGGCAAGGTGAAGCACACCTGTAATCCTAATACTTTGCAGTTTTGAGAATGGGGAATTCAAGCCCAGCCTGGGCTACGTAGCCAGATCATGTCTAAAAAACATCACAAACTATCTGTAAAAACTACACCAGAGCAAAACAATAAGGACTAAAATCCTTTGAGGGGAGCTCACCAAGAAGTTTCCCTGAACACAAATGCACTCAGCAGCAAGTTCACCCCGGAAATGGGCAGAACTGTTACATGAGCCAGGTTCCGGGATGATCTGAAAGTCACACCAGCATGTTACATGGCTTTACCATGTTCTCCCATAGCCAGTCTTGAACATGTTTTTATTTATACTAATTTAGAATCCAGTAATAAGCCATAATCATATTTTTAAATTTTATTTTAAAAAATGTTTGAGAAAGAAGATGCTTTCTGAAGGAGAATGCTAACCTCTTTTACCAAGGAAAGAGAGCTTGGTCTGTCACCGCCATCTGCCTGGGTGTCTGTTTGGAACAGTTTTCCAAGGAGGTGCACCATTCCTGACTTCCGGTCTGATCATTTTCTCCATGCTCTTCTTTTGTGTTGTTTCTATTTTCCTGTCCAGTCATCCAGTCCAGTTCATTCCAGATTGGAATGGCCAGTCATTATCTCCTTCATTCCCTGAATTAGTTTCTTTTCTTCCAAATTTCTTCTGCTTGGAATTCTTCATTTATTGTCTGCTCACCAGTATAGAGGCCTGAGAGTGACATTAGGTGCTCTACACTGTGTTTTTTTTGACAGGGTCTTTCAGTCTGCAGCTTGCCATTTCAGCTAGACTGGCTGGTGAGCAAGCATCCAGGATCTGTCAATCTCCAATCCCCAGTGCTGGCGTTACAAGTCCTCACTGCCATACCCAGCTTTTATGTCTGCTTAGGCAGCAAGCACCTTAGCCACTAAGCCTCTCTGTAGCTCCTTAAAGTCCTTCTTGTAGATTGCCTATTCTGCATATTTATTTTAGCATGTTTGTTTGCCCAGGTAAAGGATGTAAAGGATTGGATAATGGAACATGGATAGAATGTAACAACCGCTTATTGGGTATCATTACTCATAAGTTATTATTAAAAGAAGCTTTATTCAAGCTATTGTATAATGATCAGTGAAAGTGATTTGAATGCACACCAGTTGTTGAAGAGTTGAATATAATGACTGGAGTGTATTTATGCTATGGGGTGTTGCATGGATGCTAAGAAGAAAAACTGAACAATATATGGATTGGTTTGGAAAGATGACAACATGATATTTTGGCTGGGTATGATGGCACATACAGAAAGTTCAGTAGATAGGAGGCTGAAACAGCATGATTCACATGCGTTTGAGGCTAGCCCTGCCTACATAGTAAATTCTAGGTAAGCCTGTGACACAAATTAAGACTGTTAAAAACAAAACAAAAACCCAAACCACAAACCAACCAAACAAAAAACCCTAGAACAACAACAAACAAACAAGACAAAGAAAGGAAAAAAGTAACTTGTAGATTTGTATGTATAACACATAATAGAGAAAAATGTAAAAGAAACCTTTCTTTGTGACCTTTTTTATTGCTTAAATTACTGTGAGCACAGGCATCAGTTTGAAAAGACACATAACACAATTTATCCTGGTGAGGCTTGAGGACAGGTAGAAACCTGAGAGGAAGATGAAGAACTTAATAATTCACCTCCATATTTTTAATTGGTTAAAATAAATGTCAATCACATTTGCAATGAAAAACCTAATCAAATTTAAAAGAAAGTTGTTAATGATCTTATGTCCTTGTGACACCTAATGGATAGTTAGTTATTCCTGTGGGAAATCACACTGTACTGCTCTGAAATAAATTATAATAACCCTAAGAACTCTATGAGTAAGTATGAATGTAGTGACTATCCAAGTGATGAAGTGAAAATAAGGAGAAATAATCTGTCAGTTTCATAGACATTAATTATTCTGTTTACCTAAACATCTGGAAAACAGAGATTTCATAGAATGATTTAGGTGAGGTGTTAACAGACACAGAGTGGTTATTCTCAAAACATGATTTTAATGTGTTACATCCATACAATGGAATGCTATTTGGCCTTAAATAGCAATGCAATACTGATTGACTGATTGTAGTGCAGACATATGCTGTAACATGGGTGAATTTTGAACAGAATGTTAAGAGAAAGAAGCCAATCATCAAGGACAATATACTTTATGACCCCACTTATCTGTGGTGCAAAGCAGACAGAACTGTAGAGACAGAAAGTAGAATAGTGTTTGTTGAGGGCTATAGAGCAAGAGGATTGGGAGGTGACCATGAATGGGACACAATGCGTAGAAATGAGAATATGCTAAAAATGGTTGTATAGTCCAGTGAGTATATTAAAAGCAGTGGATATTAACTCCATATGAGTTGATCATATAGTATCTAAATATTAGTATATAAATACAATATGTAAATTTAGATTGTATAGTATGTAAATTACCTTGTGAAAAAAAATTGGGGACAGAACAGACTTGTGTACCCTTTTCTAGGTTTCTCTGGATTTTCCTGGAATGAAGGACTCACTTTGGCCACATTTGGATTTCACTGAAATTCAAAGGACCTCAAAATACTGGGTCAGTGATATACATTCTCTCAAGCGGTTTATTTTTCTGTAGTATAGAAGGTCAAGTTAATGAAGCTCATCCAAAGATGTCCTCCTGCAGAGCCCTTCCTTCATCAGGGGTTGATTTTACTTGATGGACTTTTCAGATCTCTCCTCAGCTCTCCTGTGAGAAGTTGTGGCCTGTTGGTTGCCATTAATGCTTTATAAATAAATAAGCATAATATATATACATATATATTTCATATAATATAATTATATATTATATAAGGATTATATGTGATATATGTAATCAATGACTATAAATAAGTTTGATTTTCCAAATGCTATTTTATACAGCTTGTTTTTCAATTTCTTCTTTCTTAGGCTCGTTAGCTCAGGTTCAACTAATATTAGTTTAGTTGCCCTAATACCTATAAACAATAGCTAGTGTGCTTTATAACTATGAAATAATTTATTTTTAAATTAAAAATAAAGTATTACTAACAACTGTTATTATTTCTCCTTACTGTTTTCAGTTATAATAGTCACTGTTACCATTTGGGCTATGATGAGTCACAATGCAACTATTGAGATAATAGAAATAATAAAAACTTCAGTATGGTAATGAGGGTGGCTTGTAAAATGTACCCAACAAATATTTATGGGGTGCAGGTTGTGTTTGCAACACTGGAATATTTATGGAAGCTAGAAAACCTGTTAGGAACTCAAGCTCTTTTAGGGGAAGAAAAGTCATGAAGGGTCGTGTGATTGAATGAGAATAGATGTATAAGAGTTAGCAATAAATACTCCAAATGCTAGAATTTTGGCTTGCTCCAAATATACAAAGAATCTTTGTTAATTCATTCACCAGACAATTATTTATTCAGCATCTATCATGAACAAGCTCTTGCAGGTGAAATAGACAGTTCTTGCTTTTTCTATGCAGTAGGGTAGAAGTCCTTGAGCATCAGGGAGCTGACCATCTAGGCAGAATGATAGCATCACACTTAGATCTAGGCATTATGTTTCCTTCTATAATCCCCTTCTCTCAGGCTCCATCATTTTTTTCTTTTCCTTTTTTAAAATTTAAGTTAGAAACAAATTTGTTTCACATGTCAATCCCTGTTCCCTTTCCCTCTCCTCATCCCATCCCTCACCACCAGGGCTCCCAGCTCCCCACCCAATCTACACTCAAATCCCCAGGGAGGGTGAAGCCCTCCATGGTGGATCTCAAGAGTCTGTCATGTCATCCAGGGTAGGGCCTATGCCCTCCTTCAAGAGTCCACGTTGAGAGAGCATCCCTCATTGTGGTACTCCATTGTGTAGATGTACCACATTTTCTCTATCCACTCTTCAGTTGAGGGGCATCTAGGTTGCTTTCAGGTTCTGGCTATTACAAATAATACTGCTATGACCATAGTGGAACAGACATCCTTGTTGCATCTTTTGAGTATATGCCTAAGAGTAGAATTGCTGGGTCTTGTGGTAGACTGATTGCCATTTTTTCTGAGGAATCTCCATACTGATTTCCAAAGTGGCTGTACAAGTCGGCACTCCCGCCAGCAGGGAAGGAATGTTCCCCTTTCTCCACATCCTCTCCAGCATAAACTCACATTGGTGTTTTTGATTTTAGCCATTCTAACAGGAGTAATATGGTATCTTAGAGTTGTTTTGATTTGCATTTCCCTGATGGATAGGGATATTGAGAACTTCTTAAGTGTCTCTCAGCCATTTTAGACTCCTCTACTGAGAATTCTCTATTTAGTTCTGTACCCCATTTGTTGATTGGATCCTTTGGTGTTTTGGAGACTTGCTTCTTGAGTTCTTTGTAAATTTTGGAGATCAGCCCCCTGTCAGATGTGGGGTTAGTGAATATCTTTTCCCAAAAAGGCGGGGTGCCTTTTTGTCTTGCTGACTGTGTCCTTTGCCTTACAGAAGCTTCTCAGTTTCAGGAGGTCCATTTATTAATTGTTGATCTTAGTGTCTGTGTTATTGGAGTTATGTTCAGGAAGCGGTCTCCTGTACCAATTCATTCAAGGATGCCTCCCACTTTCTCTTCTAAGAGGTTCAGTGTGGCTGGATTTATGTTGAGGTCTTTGATCCATTTGGATTTAAGTTTTGTGCATTGTGATACACATGGATCTATCTGCAGTCTTCTACATGTCAGCCTCCAGTTATGCCAGCACCATTTGTTGAATATGCTTTCTGTTTTCCATTGTATAATTTTAGCTTCTTTGTAAGAGTTCAGGTGTTCATAAGTGTATGGGTTAATGTTGGGGTGTTCAACTCGATTCCATTGGTCTATCTGTCTTTTTTTGTGGCAGGCTCCATCTTAATCCTTCTTATAGATCAAGGATGTAAGGATTCTTATGGCTTATATTAGACTTGAAGGGGAGATGGGAACACAAATTCTGTTTTATTGGAAAGAATATATTTTCAATAAGTACTTTGGTCTTTGTCTTTAGTGAAGATTCAAAGTAGGCAAGGATGTAATAGGTCAGTAGGATTCCATGAAATAAATAATGTTAATAGCTGGTAGGATATGTGGAAATGTTCAGAAAATGGGCATTAGACTTAATTTAGGGTCATAGCGCTCTGTGAACCACAGGAATGGTTGCCGATGTGCAAATCAGATGAGCTGGGGGAGTCCAGCATGTGTAGAATTGTGTGACAGGAGTGAGGGACCTGAGTTATCTCAGAAGATGGCACAGGTTCTGAAGGATACAATGAAGAGGTACCTTCCTGTGTGCCAGATATCAATGGATCACAGGGAGGTTGATGGTGTCCAGGAAACACAGAAAGTGACAAAGGTAAATTGTTAGTGTTTCTAAGGTAGAAGGTGTTCGATTGAGAGCAGAAGGACCAGTGGTGGGCTGGAAGAAAGCTTACTGGGATCTAGGTTCATGGAATAAAAACTGCACTGTTGGTGGGGTGGGGGTGGTGCGCATCTTTATTCCCGGCACTCTGGAGGCTGAGGCAGGCAGATCTCTGTGAGTTCTAGGCCAGCCTTGTCTACAGAGTGAGTGCCAGGACAGGCTCCAAAGCTACACAGAGAAACCCTGTCTTGAAAGGGTGTATATGGAAGGTGGGATTGAAAATAGCATTTATATGAGTGAAGGGAATCTGCAAATGATTGTAAGGTTGTAACAGGTCAGGTAAGATGGTAAGGTTTTGTTTTGTAGTGATAAGGAAATGAAGATTTTTTGAAATAAAAATTTCCCTAGCACAAAGTGTAGAATGCTGTCTGCAGGGAGAATGAGAGAATCATTCAATTTTTAAACATGGGCTCTTTTTTTTTAAAGGAATATAAAACTATTTATTGACCACTGTTCACCATTATTTACAATAAAGTAAATATACAGTTGGATGACATTCTGATACTACAAAGTTACTTTTCTGGCTCATTGAACCAGAACCCAAATACTGAAAAGATTGATCCTACCAGTCAGGAATGAGTCAGATAAAGAAAAAGCATGCAAGTCACTAATTTATATTACCAGATTTTGTTCATTTATGTTGGCCGGTCTGAGATTGCCAACGTCATCTCTAACTGTATTCCATATCCCAGCAAACAGATATTCCATGAATCATAACCTGTTAGTAGATTTTCAACTTTTCTACAAAGGAATGGTTCACTAGAGGAACCTTTACATGCCCACTTAGGTATTTTTGTTTAGGTTTTTTTTTTTTGAGCTATAACATTTAATATCTTGCCGGGTATTACAGCTTCTTTGGGCCCATTCTTTCTTGATATTCTTTTTTTTTCTTTTATTTTCCAGTTTAAATTTAGATAAGAAACAAGGTTGCTTCACAAGTCAGTTCCAGGTCCCTCTCCCATTCCCTCCCTCTTCCCGTGCCCTCCCCCCAACCCCCCCATTATCCCCTCATTCCCCCAGGGAGGGTGAGGCCCTCCATGGGGGTGTCCATAGTCTGTCATTTCATATAGGGCAGGGCCTAGACCCTTCCCCAAGAGTTCAGGGTGAGAGTGCACCTCACATTGTTCTATGGGAGTCCAAAGTCTGTGTGTATACTTGGGATGGGTACTGATCTGCTACCCAAGGCTCAATAGATTCCCTAGGCCTCCTCATTGACACCCAGATTCAGGGGATCTTGATCAGTCCCATGCTGGATTCCCAGGCTGATGCCTGGGATTCAAGAGTTAACCTTTGTCTGGTCAGCTGTTTCTGGGGGTTAAACCAGCCCAGTCTTAATCCCTTTGATCATCAGTCCTCCCTCTCTGTTACTGGCTTTCTTGAGTTCAGCTCAGTACTTAACCAAGGGAGTCTGCCTCTTCTTTGATCAGCCACTAAATGAAGTTTCTGTTTCCCAGACTCTCTGGCCATAGGATTGTAGGCTGGCACTCCCCAGATCTATGTCTAAAATCCATATATGAGAGAGTACATGCCATGTTTCTCTTTTTGTGACTGGGTTACCTCACTCAGGATGGTTTCTTCTAGTGTCATCCATTTGCCTGCAAATCTCATGATTCCATTATTTTTTTCTGCTGAATAGTATTCCATTGTGTAGATGTACCACATTTTCTCTATCCACTCTTCGGGTGAGGGACATCTAGGTTGCTTCCAAGTTCTGGCTATTAAAATAAAGCTGCTATGAACATAGTGGAACAGACATCTTTGTTGTATGAATGGGCATCTTTTGGATATATGCCTAAGAGTGGAGTTGCTGGGTCTTGTGGTAGGTTTATTCCCATTTTTCTGAGGAATCTCCATACTGATTTCCAAAGTGGCTGAACCAGTTGGCACTCCCACCAGCAATGGAGGAGTGTCCCCCTTTCACCACATCCTCTCCAGCATAAATTGTCATTGGTGTTTTTGATTTTAGCCATTCTGACAGGAGTGAGATGGTATCTCAGAGTTGTTTTGATTTGCATTTCCCGGATGGCTAAGGATGTTGAGCACTTTCTCAAGTGCCTCTCAGCCATTTTAGACTCCTCTATTGAAAACTCTCTATTTAGTTCTGCAGCCCACTTTTTAATAGGGTCCTTTGGTGTTTTGGAGACTTGCTTCTTGA